GGATTCTGAAGTCAGTTGATTTTTATGGGAAGCGAATAATTTTACCGTTTCCACCAAGTAATTTCTTACTTTTTTAATAGAATTTTGTTCAAATTTTAATTAATTTGCAATGTTATATTGTATTTACATATGTATCAAGCGAGTTTTCAATTAATTACGACCACTTAATATTTAAAAATAATATTACCAGTATTTAGTTCAATGTATAAATAAATTATTGAATTAAAAAATACATTTATAAGATGTAATTAAATATATTTTTTTCTGAATTTTTACGTGCAAATCTACTTTTAAATTCATAAACAACCGTTAAAATAAATGTGACGAAAAATCGATTCGGTACTAACGTCTAAAAGACTAATTAGAATTAAATTTGAATTATTTTTATTAAGTTAATATACAAATATTAATTAAATCAAAATTAGAAACATGCTTAAATATCGGAAACTATTTATAAACGGCAAGTAAAATCCTTTTCTAATTTTCCTAATAAGTCTCAGATTAAAAATTAATTCTTGTTACCACAATAAACTATTCTATTGACAGTATAATGACATTTATATAATATAAATGTTTATTTCTTTTCATAAACAGAACTTAATATGTGATATAATTCAATAAAATGCTTTAATTTTAACCTTTGGTATTTTATTAATGCATTTATTTTATCTTTAAGAGTTGAATGTTGCCTATATTTACCTTGCAATGTATGGTTAAAAAAAACCATTACAGAAGATTTATTCTTAGAAAATTACACTGTATTTGTAGAGTTAATTATATAGGACAGTATAAAGATTTAATTATTCGAATTTATTTGTTAAAAATAGATTTATAAAGAAAGAAATTAACTGATTTAATTATACTTTCTGTCAATAAAATGATACACAATTCGGTTCAACTGTGTATAGCTTTTATGGTTAAAGTTGTCTTTTCTTCAATTATATAAGCTGTAGAACTTGGCGATTCATCTCTATTGTCTGAACAATCGATTACATTGTTTTTATTTTTACTTACTTGGATTTCATTTGCATTATCATTATTCTGTTAAGCGTCCAATCGCTATAAAACTTTCTACTTTCATCAATATCTTCAAATAGAAACCGAGAAATTAAATAGACGAACAGATTCAATTAACTAAAGGATGCTGGCGGATTAAATTTCTGTTTTTCGTCTGCAGCTATCAGCAATTAGTGACCTCCAATTCCACATAATTTCTTTTTTTTTTCCTTAGATTCTTTTCGTATCTCTTGTTTCCTTCGAATCCATCTAGGCAAACAATTATCGATAAGTGTCATTGATTGAAGAAGTAACGTCTTCGGCTCATCTACAATTGATTTTTATCGGACGTTTTCTGCCAAAAGTGGATCTAGACGAACATTTTTAAAGCTGGCAAGTAATGATTGCGGCTTCTAAAAATTGTTATTAGATAGAAACTTGATTATATGGCAAACTTCCGGAAGCCATAAATTGCTAAATTCCTCGCTAATTCTCTGAAAAACGCTTCCCAGTTTCCGAAAGAATAAATAAATACACGATTATTATTCAAGAAAGAACAAATTTTAATACTGATTCAATTAAAATGAAGTTCCTCTTACGTTGGTCTTTATTTTTTATTTTATTTTTTTTAATTTTCATCTTTACAGTTTTAAAAATCTGCTTAGGTAATTACTTCCACGTGTTGAGTTCTGAAAAACAAAGCAAACATTCGGTTTTAAATTGTCTTCGTTTAAATGTTGATTTATAAAGAAAGTCGAAAATTGGGTTCATCAACAAATAAGTCGACGATTGGCTAATAGTTTAACAATAACTTCAAATATGTTTTTATAAAGAATTTTATTTTTCGTTGACTTATATAAAAATTTACATACAAGGAAGCTCAAAAATTAGTTAACCACGCTTTTTGTGCATTCCAGAAACTTTATAAAATGAATGAAAGCGTGATACTTAATAATTTTCATTTCAATATGATAGAAACTTAATTTTTATAATGGTTAACTGACTTTTGAGCCACTTCGTGTTGAGCTTAAATTGCTTACTTCAAAAAAAAAATGCAGAATTTTAAAAATAAATTTAGTGTTAATTAGACATTTCTCTAATTTTATTTAACAGTATATATATATTTTTTATTGCTTATAAAAAAAATTAATCCGTAATTTACTTTATTCATAGTATGTGTACAATTTTCATTACAGTTATTTAATAACTTGCATTTTCTTTAAAAACAAATAATAATTCGTTGAACAATGACGTAATTAAGATAATTTAAAATAAATTTGAATAATATTTTAAATGATAATAAATTAAAACCTTTTTATACAAACTGTAATTTAGCATCATAATCCAGGATGAGTTAGTAAGAAGAACCTTTCAGTTAGAAAATTATGAGAAATGTTCATCATTTTTTAATACCAAAACTGGTTTAAAAGAAATTTTCTCGATCGTATTTTATTCCTCTTACAAGAAAACTAATATTAAGTATAGGAATTACATTAATCTGTTGAAACAGACGTCTTAAGTGCTCAATCGATGAGAAGACACAAACCGAATTTTCTCCACCGGTGTATTTTATCCAATAAAATTAAATAACGACAATTTTTTTTTCATTGAGAAGTAAAGTACAGTTTCTTCCGGAAAATTCTTTAGAAATAAAAATGCTATAATTTCACAGAAGTTAGATAACTTTTGCGTGAGCCAAACACTTTCCAATTCGATTTCCCCCCCCTCGGAAAAGAAATATGTTTTATTATACTTGCTTTCTAGTTTATTTATAATTTTATTGATTTATAGTAAAAATAAAATATTTTAAAATATTTTCTATTTATAATAAGATAAAAGATTTATATAAGTCATAGCAGCAACAGAAACAGGAAGAGGAGAAAAAATACGTAAATACACTTTTATGCTGCGTGCGTAAAATTAATTTATCATAACTTTAAATAATTAATAAAACTGGTTTAGAAGGAAGTAATAAAAGTGTACAGCTGTAGTAGGATTTTTCTTTTAAATAACAACTTCTGGTGTCGGATTTAAGCGTTTAACTCGAAAAACTTTTCTCGTAGCTGCAGGTTATGGTGAATATAGCTTTGAAAAATAACTGTTCAGCTAGAAAATTCAGTAAACACCATTGGACCACGCCCATGAGGCACTCGCTTTCCAATATCTCTGCCTAGTTTCAAACATTCACAGCTGTGTGCCATCAGTTAGTTTTATTGTTGTGGACGAAATAAAATTACAGAGAACAAAAAAATAGATATTTGTAGAACCATAGCATTCGAGTTGAGCCTTAAGAAAAAAAAATCATTATTGTTGCGAAAATCGATACTTTCGGATATGAAACAAGATATGTAAGAATTGTTTGCGCCTTTCTAATACGCCATCCCCCCCATAAAAAATGCAAAAAACGTGACAAAGATGCGTGTATATGGTGATGACAATAAGTAAATATCGCATCTGCCGTGTAGTACTTCAATAAGTTATGATTTCGATATTATTTTGCATCCATGTATATCACTCTAAATTTATTTTCACATCTTCCGAGACAAAATAAGAAAGAGTTTAATAGAAAACTAAAGAAATCCGACAGTTGCAGCTGACGTTTCCTTGTAATCCACATCTGTGGCATCAAATATAGAAGAGTTAGGCTGTAGAATATTTGCCGACCAAATATACGTCAAATCATTCAAAATCAGAATACTTTCCTTACAAAATCGCATTTTAGGCACAAGTAAAATCGCAATAAAAGCAGAAATTATCTTGATTAAAATTGCAAATTAACCTTGTATGAATCTGACTTGTTCGAAGATTAAATATATATAAAATTAAATAAAATATTTTTAAATATTAACAAAATTAATTAAAATTTCTTAATGGGAATATTATGTAAAGTATAAATAAAATTATTTCTTTTTAATCTAAATTAATTTCTCTATTTCGTTAATTAAGCAAAATAATTTTAGATTAAACCCCCTTATATAAACAATACAATCTTATAATATTTAAGCTTTTTAAACAAAGTTAAATTAATTTATTTTATACAAACCTTATATAATAAATAAAAAATTAGCTTTATTATAATCAAGTATAAATATTATAATATTAATATTAATTAATTAAATTAAGTATATAAGTCGTACATTATACAAAAGATTTATTTGAATTCTAGAAGACTTAAGATGAGTATAAGAAGTATATTATTACAGAAGAATGATTAATGTAGCCTTCTGCCTCTTATTTAAATTTTCATAGCAAAGTAGAAATTCTGAACTTCAATTCATCATTAAGAATGCATCGCTTCCAGTTATAAGAATCTTAGAATATCTGTCGCGCTTGGTTTGATCGTCATACTGTATCTAAACACTAAAGAGCTGGCTGAAGTCCAGGAATAAATTACACGACTTGATCATTATTAGCAATTAACTTTATTTAGTTTTTAAAACACGAATTTAACCTCGCAATTTAAATTCCTTTCAAATTTTAAGTATCAAAATGAAACTTTCATATAATATACATAAATATATATAGATCGAGTTATAATTAATGATATTGTTATCGATAAGTTAGAAATTTTAAAGAGAGAGGAACTAGTAAGGGTGGAGCTCTCAATGTTTCCTATATTAAGCTAAAATATAACGAATGACTCATTCATGCTCGCTTGCTGCGCTACTGAATATCAAAGATTTCCGTGACACCGACTTAATACTTCTATCGTTTTATGCAGCTTAAACGCCCTAAAAATTATTATAAATAGCTTTCTTAATTAATTTATTGCCATTTTTGCTACAATGTTTGTCTAATATTTAATACTTCACGTATAAATTCGTGAAAGTAATACGTAATATTTTTAAAGAATATAAAATGTTGCTTCATCTTTAGTTACTTATATAAATAAAAGTACAATTTAAAGCAATTTTCGGCAATTTTTTAACCCAAGATCAAAATATTTAATGTGTTTTGATGTTTTAGTAAGTCAATTTTTACAAATTGTTACATTTTCAGCAAAAATGTTCTATATTATAGTTTATAGTCAGGTAGATCGACTAGTGGATCGATACTCCATTGTAATTAAAAGTTTTCGTAGATCGGTATGTAAATGAGACAAGCTCTCTTCGACGCCTGTTGGTGGAAATTAGGAAGACATCTTCCTTTGTAAAAAGGTGATTAAGCGAGAAAGTGATGAATGGCAGTGTTGGCTTGTTTTAAATGTCTTTCTGTGATGTTTTATCCCTTTTTAACATTACTCTGCACGACAAAAAATGACTGTCTATGTTAGAGAAGATAACAATAACACTTGAAAAACCGTTTCAAATAATTTGAGAAGAAATCTAGGCTAAATTTTCTAATCTACATACATAAAATAGAACGTCTGTCTGTTCTTCTGTATGTTCTTTATACACTTTTAAACCATTTCTTCACCAAATTTTAGCTCTAGGATCCCGCGGAAACTATAAACTACCTTAAAATCTCGACGTCAAACTTCTCTTGACACTTCGTGATAAACACAACAAGGATAAGCTAATAACTATATTTTAAAGTAACCAACCTTTTATTTTAATGTTTATCTTTATTACTCAGGCCTATTTGCTATCTTATTTAATATTAAATTAAAAAATAAAAAAATAAATAACTAATAAAATAATTACGAATTTAATAGTAAAAATTTATTATTTTTTTCTCCCAGGTTATAAAATAAAAGTTTTTGCTTTTGTTAATTTAATTTTATTATTCATTTTTTAATGGGTTTTGAAATAGATCTTTGAATATGTAAATCGATAAATCTTCTTCCAATCTGACTATTCCCATTAGAATTTCAGTTTAAATTAAAACAAATTCTACACCAGTCACACTAGGACGTCTTTAATACTAAGCTGTATATTTTATATTTTTTTATAATGCTTACTTAAATATCTTGTTTATTTACTTAAAGTTTATTCATCACAAAGATATTTTTTTATAAATTTCACGTAATAAAAAATTTATTAGAATGTTAAATCTCTATAATAATATTAAAAATAAATCTTTGCTTCGTTCAAACGACGAACATAATTTCTTTATAATTTATTCTTAAAATGTAACAAGGTTAAACGGTCAACTTTAGAGTGATGTTTTTAAAGTAATTTTCTTCTTTGAAGTCAATTATGAACTTAAAGAATGTTCCAATCTTCTATAATTTGTCCTTTGGGATTCTCAATTTAAAAAGCTGCAATTATAAAAAACAAAAAAAAAATTAAGAGCCCTGCAGATGCTTGTTATTAATATCACGAAAATATCTATCTTGTTAATAAAAGTATAACCGTCTAATTTGAAATTTCTTCAACTAATTAGTGAGGTTAAAAGAATTTGTATTTTATTTTTCTAAACTGATATTAATAATTTAATATTAATGTATAAAAATTAAACAAGTTTTTATTTTAAAGTTTGAATTTTTATTTTTTGAAAAATTCTAGCGACGTATCTATGCTTTTTTTATGTAACATATTTTTGTTTTGAATAAAATCATTATCGCATTAGTTTGATGGAATTTGAAAAGTTTAGAATTATCTTTAAGTTTTTGATAGTGACAAGTAAAATACATTTCATTTCTTTATTCTTTTATCCCCTCGTTAAGAAGAATTAGACCTATTTACATTTTGACATGCTTAGTGCAAAGTATATTTTTAATGCTGCAGTTAAATAATTATTTTTGATTATTTTTTCGTAAAAAAAAATATAATAATAATCATCAATTATTTACCTGTAAATTAAAAAAAAATTAATGAAACAAATTTCGATTTATTTTCTATTTATTAATTTTATTTAAATGTAGCATTTTATTGTAATGGAGATTATCTAGACTCTCTCAAACTTGTACTTCCTATATACGAATTAAAATAAAATAAATTAATGTAAATAATCTATATAAAATAGTTTAAATTTAATTCGAATTTCTGATTATTTTTTTCTTTTTGATAACTTCATATTATAATATTAAAAAATGGTTATCTTAAGTTTGACTAGAATCTCTGGAGTAAAGCAATTGGTCTAGATAAATGGGAATGCTATCCCATTGCTATCCTTCGAGACTTTACTTTCTTGTGTATATATATATAGGCCTATATATTATATATATATAAAACATTTTTTGATACGAAATTGTAAAAAGTAAGTCTTCTAACGTGGAATGTCGTGAACTTCAACGATAAAGAATTTTTCAATTTTAGAAAACATGAATGAGAAAAAAATGCTATTGGATACAAAGAAAATAAATTAATTGTTTAGTAGAAACAATATAAAAAGTTTGTATTTTAAACAAGAAAAAATAATTTATTTAATTTAAAAACTATTGTTTATAATATATATAATACATTTTATATTAGTATACCGTATATATATTATATGCATTATTCTCAATATATTTTATGTTTTACATGTCATAAAAATGTCTTAATAATTTATAAAATAATATATAATTTCAACTATAAAATATAGCATTTTAAAATAAATTTTTTCGATTTAAATTATGTTTCCTATAAATTTTCTGTATTAAATTCTTACTGAAAATAATTCTGTATATATTTTGTTTTAAAGGACATTTTTAAGGCTTTTGGGAACCTAAAATTGCTACTTTCTATAATAATAAAAGATTAAATTTAACGTGGATTTCAAAGATTCAATTTTGAATCTGTAAGTCTGTATGTCTGTAAAGACTAATCAATGCAATGTTAAAGATAAATTCTGCATTGTCTTTGAAATATTCTTTAAGAAATAATGAAACATTTTAAATTCTTTTAAAGTTATAAAATCGTATAATTTACTTTTATTTTCATTTATAAATCATTTCATTAAACGAAATCGTTGAAGTGATCTTAGAAGCCGTTTAGTCTTTACAAATTGCCATTTATAATGTATCTAATTCATAATAGAAAGCTTTCAACAAAATTGAAAGTTTGCGAAACTAATTTCAATTAATTAAAGTAGAAAATACTAAATTAGAGGTAACTTATATTCAATTAAATTTCAGTAAGTAATAATTGATATTGTTTTGTTATAGCTGACTTCTACTTCTTCGAAGCAGATGTTATCTAAATATAAATGAGCTGTTTTGTTTGTACTGTGACCTTTGATGCTCGAGCATCTTGCATTTTGTGTGTTATGATAACTTCACGCAACTTCTGCGAAACAGCTGAACTTATTCACACGAATACAACTCTAAAATAGTTTGAAATATTTTTAATAGAATACGATTTTTGGGGGGTCTTTAACATTGCCATTTCTAACTTTACTCCGGCTCTCTCTAAAGAATAAGTTAGACTCAATATTTGAACACTCGAAAGACATTACAGATAGGCTAGTTCAATCCAATATTATCAAAATTCCATTACTTAATGTTTCCAATTAACAATACATGTTTAATAAGTATATATAGACCAAATCTGTAACCATTAAGTGAGAATTACAATGCATAAGCTAACTTAATACATCAATTAACTGCATCAGATTAAAGGCAAAATAAAATAGATGTGAATAGTTTCCAATAATCTTATATTAGTTTATCGATTATCAATAGCTGGATATCCACTTTTAGTTACAAAAATACAAAGTTTCTGCAGATATCACTGTTCTTGAGGCGTTAATTAGAATAATTTCAATTTAATGTTAAGCACTCGTTAAATAATTTTGATGAATTGCTTCTTTTCATAGTGGAAGCACGCACCAAATTTTTCAATTAAATCTTAATTTAAAGCATATTAAATGACGTTAAAATCAGCAGCTATATTTAATTTAGATTNTTGTTGACGTATTTCTATAGAAAATATAAGAAATATATATGATTTTAATAAGAAAGAAATTATAAATAGAAAGAAACTCACCAAACAAACTTCATCTGGGCTATCACATTCTTTTAAATTGGACTCATTATAATGGTTGCACGGAATTAATGAACCTGTTTGGCTGCGAGTGTAGGTTCCGCACCGATAGCATTTGAGGCACCATGTTCTTGTGACTGGAAAAAGTTGTAAATTGTGATCAATATCCTGCTTAATGAAAATCTCCTAGTATTACTTCCGCTCAATATTTTCATTATAAAACGAATATCGATATACCAGTACGAAAAATTGCGTTGGACTCTCTTCTTAGCTCCAGTAAAATACAAATTATTAATTTTTTTTTTTTGCAAAACTTTCTGACTAAAATATTATAATTAAAATTAGATACGGGTTCTACAATAAATAATTAGTATAGAATTAATAATAAATTTTATAATTAGTCATTTAATGATTAAATAGAGCTAATTGTTGCTTATGAAGAGTTTTCAACATAAAATGTTTAAAAGTAATTAATAGTAATGTTATAATTATTTTAATATTAAAATGATGATATGTATTCTCAATTAAACTGTTTTATTTTAGGCTTAGATATATATATATATATCTAAGCCTAATTATTGATATAATATATATATATATATATATATATATATTATATCAATAATTAGGCTTAGATATATATATATATATCTAAGCCTAAAATAAAACAGTTTAATTGAGAATACATATCATCATTTTAATATTAAAATAATTATAACATTACTATTAATTACTTTTAAACATTTTATGTTGAAAACTCTTCATAAGCAACAATTAGCTCTATTTAATCATTAAATGACTAATTATAAAATTTATTATTAATTCTATACTAATTATTTATTGTAGAACCCGTATCTAATTTTAATTATAATATTTTAGTCAGAAAGTTTTGCAAAAAAAAAAAATTAATAATTTGTATTTTACTGGAGCTAAGAAGAGAGTCCAACGCAATTTTTCGTACTGGTATATCGATATTCGTTTTATAATGAAAATATTGAGCGGAAGTAATACTAGGAGATTTTCATTAAGCAGGATATTGATCACAATTTACAACTTTTTCCAGTCACAAGAACATGGTGCCTCAAATGCTATCGGTGCGGAACCTACACTCGCAGCCAAACAGGTTCATTAATTCCGTGCAACCATTATAATGAGTCCAATTTAAAAGAATGTGATAGCCCAGATGAAGTTTGTTTGGTGAGTTTCTTTCTATTTATAATTTCTTTCTTATTAAAATCATATATATTTCTTATATTTTCTATAGAAATACGTCAACAAAGGAATAGTCGTTAGACAATGCCTTTATAATTGTAAATCTGAAGGTATGTTTCCATTCTTCTCCTGTCAATTAGTATTACAAATTAATAAAAATATTTCAACTAATTATTTATCGAATATGATTTTATTCATAAACTGATTTGTATAGAATTAAAAATCTTTATAAAAGAAATAATAAATTTCGAGATTGTAATTATAGTACAGTATTGTTAATAACATTCAATTCTATTTAATCTTATATAGATTATTTTATTCCTAATTCCTATACTTTCCGCGCTATGGGCGTTAAGAAGGTCTTTTTCTCATACCCACTGTGGGCTTGGCCAGGCCCACAATTGAAGCGGCAGGGTGGTGAAGGATGGGGCCCGACATATTTGGGAAGGCATCTCCAAAAATTCTGGAATTTCGAGTGTTTCGGAGGGGTAGACCGACACCTTAACCGAGGCCATCGAGAGAGATCGTAGCGGTTCTGATCTTGTAAATTATTTTTATTAACAAAAAATAGCATCTTTAAGACTGATTTTTATTAATAAATAAACATCTTAAGTACTGTATTTCATTTGTTCAAAAAAACATTTGCAAAAAAGACTCGCTATACTCCGGGCCTCGTATAAGCTCTCAATGGCACCGGTCTTTACCTCTTCAGCCATCCACACAACCAAATATTTTATAGTCTATTTGATATGTGTACAGAGTTAGGACAATTCATAAGAGAAGTTTTATAATTTATATTTTATATTGTTTTGGAAATAAATTGCGAGACTAACTTTATTAGTTTAATTTTAAGTAAATTTGTTTCCATTGTTGACAGAGATGCCCGTAGCCTATAGAAAAAGAGAATACAAGCCATAAAAGGGGGGCATCGTGCATTTTGCAATCTTCAAACTATGGTTTAATGTGGAATCTGCGTTCCCACACAGTAGCACTGGTTGCAACTGATTGCGGCTAACTTGGCCTTGAAAACATTGAATGTTCCTTGTTTTCAATCCAAGTTTTGGTCAATATACGACGAAGTTGCATGGGACAATTGACAAATATCGTTCATTAGTTTCTTTAATATTTTCAGAATAGGCTAGAAGTCATGAATTTTCTGTTGTTTGTTAATAATGGATTTGGGATTCCTTTGGTGATTAGGAAAAGGGCACCCAAAGGGAAAAGGAAAATAATCGGCCCTAATGAACCCAATGTATGGGCCGATTATTTTCTATAGCAAATTCTTTTGAATTTGTTTAGTTATCTATTCTAATTATTTTTATTTAAGTTATAAAATATTTGTATTTCTTAAAATATTCCATAAATTAAGTGGCTAATGATAAATGATATATCGTTTTCAAAACCAAACCTTGATAATTTTTTTTTCTCATTATCATTATATTTTCTAATTATTGATTGTTATATTCTTACTATAAGGAAACGTTTTATAATTTGTATTTATTCATTAAAATATATATAAATTATAAAGATATTTAATGAATAATTGTTGACGATCTAACAACAGAGAGAGACAGAGAACCATCAATGAGTGAGTGAGACAGAGAGACAGAATTCAATGAACTAAATAAAAATATCGTTAATTATTTTGTTTATTTCAAGTTTTACAAGCAAAATTGAATTTAAATTAGTGACAATTTATATTTAATTGTCTAATTAAATTAAGGATTTTTATTAATGTAGTAATATAAGGAGCAGACATGGAAACATAGATTGATAAATTAATAAAAATATTATCATTTTAATATTGTTTCCTAAGATGAACTGTCACTTTCTGGATATTTTGTTTTTTAATTTAAAAATATAAATATCAAATATTTTAAATTCTTCTATAATCAATAAATACCACACGAATTGATTTATACTATAATTAAAATGCGTGTCCTATTATTTACTAACTGTAATGAGAACTGTAAACTACAATAGATAAATTTATTTTATATACGGATAAATCGATGAGGACTGTAAAAATCCGGTTTCTCTGATATAAATTTAAAATTTGTGTATTGATTGTTGTTCAAGCAGAAAAAAAAAACGGATTAAATAAGTGTCGAAATGAAGATTTATTCGGTCACCCTCTCGTAAGAAATCATTCAATATATTGAAATCCAGTCACATCTTAAAACTAATTGTAATTTTAAAATATTTTGTAAATTTTATAGATTGTGAGAGACAATTATAAATCATAGAAGATTTTTAAATCTAAATTGCATGTTTTTTTCTTTGCAATATTAATTATACTGACATTTGAAACTATATTAAAATATTCAAAATTGATTTTAAAACTTATAATAAGGAAATCATTTGAAATTTATTAAAGAATATCGTTTTAAAATGAAGTTACATAATTGTTAGCAGTAAATTATTTGCAGTTATCATCTAAATAAAATCTAGTGGCAGGAAAATGCGCTGGTCTTGAAAATTCATCAGGATAATTGTTTTTAAATTATACTTTTCTGTTAATGTTTAAACTATATTTTACTTGGGATGAAGAGTTTTGATTACTGGACCATCCTCATTTAGAAAGAAATTTCTGCAGTTTATTATTTAATACTACTTAATTAATACAATTGATTATTCAACGTGAAGAAACAGATAACGAACATTATTTATATCGACCTATTATTATCTTTACGATATTTTGTGTAGATCGTATGAAATTTGTGAATTCTATTTTAGTATCGTACACCAATACTTAACTATAGCGAAATAATTTATAATATATCTCTTGACAATATTTTAGTATTATGTTTGAAAGAGAACACCAAATATAGACTAGTAAATAGCGTAAAGAAATATAATAACTTTATAATAATATAGACATCAATAGAAAACAGAAATTCTAAATTATAAACATTTCTATTACTTTTACTTATTTCCTTTGTAAATTTAGAGAAAATTTATGTAGAAAGTTAATGAATAATTTTTATAAACTTATGTAATATGTAATGTAAACATATCATTTAAATAAATTAGAATAGAACTTCAAATGAATAAAGTTAATGTTAATAATGACTTTCAAATTTCCAGAAAATATTTCAGAAACCAGAAAAAGAAACGTCACTTTCTGTCTAGAAATTTCGGATTAAATGGATTCCGGACGGAAAAGACAGCTGAAAATATTTATACTTTTTGGTTTCGTTATACATCCCGTTTATATACTAAACCAATTATAGAGCGATATTTTGGCGACGTCATTTTTCTAGTTTCTGGAAACACTGTACGATAGCTTAAAGTTTTCAAACTAAATGGCTGAAGGGGAGGATAAAAGAATTCGTTTCCGACTTTGATAATCGACAAATTTTAAATTATTATTTCTTATTGGCAGAGAGAAATTCTGTGCTCAATTTCTGTTGTTGTGGATATAGAACAGAAACAGAATAAGAAAGAACATAAACAGATTATTTTCGATGATTTTGTTTGGTTTCTGGTGTTGCGAAAACAAAGCATTACAGTTGCATTTATACAACATATTTAAACGTGTGTATGAAATATATGTAAAATCAATTTAATTTGCAAACCTTAATAATGTTATTAAATTATTTATATTTCTTTTATTTAAACTTCCATTCTTATAGATAAATTAAATCCGATTTTCAGAACTGTAAAATCAGAGTTTTTAGATCTTGATTGCAACTATACTATTTTATTTACTGCTATTTATTTATAGGATCGTTTGTAATAAGCTCAGACAACTTCGATTTTTATATTTTAACAATCTAATATATTCAGAAAATTCCATTCTATGTTTTAATTAACTAGTTTTAAATTCATACGTTATTTAATTTAATTAAAATTTGTTTAACTATTAATAATTACAATTAAATTAGAATTAAGTAAACACTAGAAATTAAAAATTAAATAGTTGATAACAATCCTAGCCTATTCAAAATATATTCTTGCAGCCTCTATTTTTTTGAAGTGAACTGATTTTTAGTAAGAATTTTGCTCTATTTCTTAAAATTTTGTGAATTTTATGTAATACAATTTCAGAATTATCTATTTTCATATGTTTATAATTAAATGATGCTTAATTTAATTGAATTTATAAGGATTTATAATGAAATTATCAATGTAATTCTGGTTAGAAAGTGACAGAAACGAAACTCAATTTTCAAAGATTAAATATTAAACGGTTGAAGAAATAAAGATTTAAATTATAAATATTCATCAAAAAACAGTTAATAAATATATATGTTACAGTCAAAACCCGTTTTTAGTTAGAACGCGTTTTAACTAGTTAAAACTAGTTTATACTGAATGTCTTTGTTAAAACCCGTTTTGTCTAGTTAAAACTAGTTTTAACTCAAATTCATTTTTGACTACAGTAAATTCTAGTTTTAACTAGACAAAACCGGTTTTGTCTAGTTAATTTACTGCTGTACATGTTTTGACTTTAGATAAAACTAGTTTTAACTTTTAACATTAGTTAAAACTAANGACAAAACGGGTTTTAACAAAGACATTCAGTATAAACTAGTTTCAACTAGACAAAACGGGTTTTAACAAAGACATTCAGTATAAACTAGTTTCAACTAGACAAAACGGGTTTTAACAAAGACATTCAGTATAAACTAGTTTCAACTAGACAAAACGGGTTTTAACAAAGACATTCAGTATAAACTAGTTTCAACTAGACAAAACGGGTTTTAACAAAGACATTCAGTATAAACTAGTTTCAACTAGACAAAACGGGTTTTAACAAAGACATTCAGTATAAACTAGTTTCAACTAGACAAAACGGGTTTTAACAAAGACATTCAGTATAAACTAGTTTCAACTAGACAAAACGGGTTTTAACAAAGACATTCAGTATAAACTAGTTTCAACTAGACAAAACGGGTTTTAACAAAGACATTCAGTATAAACTAGTTTCAACTAGACAAAACGGGTTTTAACAAAGACATTCAGTATAAACTAGTTTCAACTAGACAAAACGGGTTTTAACAAAGACATTCAGTATAAACTAGTTTCAACTAGACAAAACGGGTTTTAACAAAGACATTCAGTATAAACTAGTTTCAACTAGACAAAACGGGTTTTAACAAAGACA